AACAGATTCCTGTCTCCATATTCCTACGTAGACACTTTTAACTGTAACTAACGTACACATGAAAGCCAAGCCTTGTAAATTATCGATCTTTTTTCTTGTTGAGTTTATAGGAGAAGTGCAAGAAGAGAAGATAAAATTTCTGTGTAGAAGTTAACAAGTAAAACTCTAAATTAAATGCAAACCTAATGGAAAGCTATGTTCACGTATCCTAATTATTTTTGGCAAGACCAATTCACGTACAACTGATCCAAATCAACGCTGAAATAAAACTCAATGCAGATTATTTGGGATGGTTTAGAACAGAAATTCGATGTATGTACTCAAATAAAATATAGTCACATGCTAATGCAAGAATCTATGTCGCATCAGTTATCTGTCATTTTTTTTTTTGTGGTACATTTTGCAATTAAGCTGAGCCAATATCGAGGAATAGGTGAGATTTTTTTTTTTTTTTTTTTTATGGATTAGGGACATTCTTGAGTACTTAGCTTCAAATACTCTCGAATTAGCTGTTAAACTTGGGCTTGAGGTATTTGCAAGGTGAAATATCGCAACGGATCTTCTGTCCCACACTCTGTGCCACTTTTTATTATATTGCTATTTCTCCTTCATAAATATCATGTTTTAGTTCTTTTTTGTTTCCTTATGATTCAATAACTATTAATTGAGTAATACACAAAATTTAACATAATCAAAAAATCAAAATGCATATAAAATGAGATTTTTTATGAAATTTCTGCTGTATTTTTTAATTTTCTATTATATATTGCTTTTTTAAAGTTGTTGTATTTATTTTTTACTGAATTAATAATTATTGAATCTTAAGGAAACAAAAAAGAACTATAACATGATGTTTATGAAGGAGAAATAATAATATAATAAAAAATAGGATAGAGAGTGGCACAGAGTGTGGGACAGAAGATCCGTTGCGGTGAAATATGGCTCAACCTCTTTTTTTAACAGAATGGGTTCGTTGCCTTTGGCAACAGACGTAATTAAATGTCAAAGGTTAAATTTCCACTTTCTTGAAGCATGTCATCGGATATCCTAAGGTTAAACAAATCCAAGTTGTTTGTAGTTTGTAGTCTGTACTCGACCACATATAGTACATCCCTCTAATAGCTGTAAAACCATTACATCTAATCCCTTTTTTTTTTTTAAATTTTGTTAAAACTATAAAAAATTCCAAGTTTCCCACCTAGTCCACTTTGATAATTTGTTGAACCGGTGCCTTATCTATTCTAGACAGAATCATTGGTTGCCTTCTGTCTTGTCCGTTGGAATTATACTGTTTATGGATACTGACAAGCTCGTGCTCATGATTCAAGTTGCTACAAATTCCGCAGAATTTCTGATACCATCGTAGCAAAATCAATCCATAGGACCCTTGAGCTCCAATTCGCCAAAAAAAAAGGAAAAAAATTTATACATGTCATTAAGTTCAAGACAAAGAGATGGAAAGACCACGGAAATTGGGCCTACTACAATAGCATTCATTTTTTTTTTTCTACAATAACATTCATTGACGAAAAGAATATCATAGGAATATTGTTGATTTCAAATTGGTAAAGAAATTCCCTATCTCAAGACTAATTTGCAAACGCATCAATGACAAACTCTGACCCGTTTCTTATTGGATAAATTATCACATGCATTGATTGAATTGGAATTTTTGTACAACAAGCAAGTTAATTTGGCTCAGACAAACTAGACTCTAACCCCTCGTTTGTTTGGCACGTAGGAACCACCTTTGATAGAACGGCTTCTCCAACTTATTGATTCCATTCTCATATTTAGTATGAATTTTTTGAGTTAGAAAGGCCTTTTTCCATAGAAAACTCATTCTCTGGGAACCCATTCCTCACAAAATTCTAAAGAAAGTTCTTTTCACCTTTACCCTGAAATGTCCAAAATTATTGGAGCCAAATTTATTCTCATACACATCTTTGTTCTATTGCCAATAGATTTGTTGTTAGTTTAATGAATAATTGACCATGATTTTTTTAACAAACTATTCTAGTTATTTTTACAATATTTTTTCTTTGCTAATTTTAAGATATCGTTCTTTTAAACTTCAGTGCAAACGTATAAGGACTTTTTTTTTTGGCACTTGACATAAATGGTGAAAAAAATAATAAAGAGAGAATACGAATGTTTAATTTTGCGTGATTTAATTTTTTGTAAGCTAGTAATTATATTGTTATTTAAAACGAAAAAACTTAAAATGCATATTCATGATTTAAAAACAATAAAATATTATAATCGAATTATTTTAATAAGTACGCAAGTTATTCATAATGTACCAAGAAAAAAGAGTCAAAGTTCCTCGTGTAAAGTAACAAATAGCATAGTACGAATGAACAAAACATGTAAAACTATAAAATGCTCAATAATAGATTTCAGGGAAATTAAGTCAATTTTATACATGTTTTATTCCATTTTGACATCTGAAAATTGATTGTACCAAATATTGGAAATGTGATGAACATTCCATTCTGACAAACATACCACACATTATAATGAAAAAATAAACTTTGTTTCTATATCATTTCGACTAGAAAGACATTCTGGGTAGACAGACCTTTTCATTCTAGACATTCTGACGTATTCAACGAAGGGTAAACATACGGAAATGCTACAATAGCTTTCTAAGCATAATAATCTTAGCTAGTTCCTGTTAATTATTTGATGCGATTTTTTTTTTTTTTTGGGGGCTAATACGTTTGCATCACATTGCAAAAATACAAAGGCGACATGCTAAAATCTGCGTCTCTGGCATCTGTTAACGCCGCAGGTAATAATCTTCTTCTATAAATACATGTGTCGTATGGAGATGTCATGATGGGCTAGAAAGCAATAGGCAGCTTGTCTCTAATCATACTGTGTAAGAATTCAAGTCCCAGATTTGCCTGCAAGAAATGATATAAAGCATGTTCCCACTGGAAAAACTAGCCACATTTATTTTGTTGTCGTGGAGACAAAGCCCCACTCCAAGGAATTGAACAAAGGAAAAAGAATATAGAATTGCCGATGCCTTTTATTGTTTTTTATTGTTAATTCACTCCCTATCTCTCTCGTTTTCTTGGAGTCCAGAGATTTTGTAGGCTTCAAAGTTCCGTGCTTTTCCATGTAAAACAGTGGGAAAACCCGATAAAATGGTACAAATTAGTTCCACCACCCCTTATTTTGACGTAAAACTATGGATATACGGTTCTAGTAGCACTGATCAAAGAAAAAGTTAAACAAAAATGACCTGTAACATATATAAAAAGTTCTGCTGCAACAAATATTAGTTTGAATCCATGGTGCTGTTAGTTATGCCCCATTATAATTTTGTATACATTAACAATATATACACTATTATTATTGAATTGATGCCATATATGTGAAAAAAATATATATATATTTTTTTTAAATTCAAATTTTAAATAATTTTTATTTATCTATTATCCGTACTGACAACATATACAATATTAGTATTAATCCAAAATTAAATTTAAATAGCACAAAAAAGATAAAGTCATCCTCAAATATAATATTGTGTTAAACGAAATGGCGAGCAAACCGGAAGATAGGGAATCAGCCCATTGTGAGGGAGCCCAACGGAAGTATCGAAGAGGTGAGACAAACTAGAACAAGAAGTTAATTATGAAAGCTACTTTATCAAACCACAGGCCAGCTGGAGTAAACTAATGCTGATGGGGCCTCGGCAAACAATTTTGGGAAAGCGGGGCAGAGGGTCTGATCAGAGATGAAAATGGCCGGAGAGGCAAGCCATCTTAAGCCAGATCTCTGGGCTATGCTGCATGGATTGGGAACTTGGACTCAGGAAGATCGTGCAAGAAACGGACTCAAAGTCCAAATCTTCCTTGACGCTGGTAGAAGATCAGGGAATTGACTGCAAAAATCATGGGAATGTGAGTTAAAGCACATGGACAGAGAGTAATGTCTGTGTTAATCACTTGGCCAAACTTAGCCAATATTAAGTCAGGTTTTCTTTCTAATTTATTTTGAGAAAATTATAGTTTGATATCAAATGTTTTTGGGCATTGGGGATTTTAGTCCTTAAAGTTTGGACAAAAGCAAATCTAGTCTTAAATATTTTAACTCCTAAGCATGTTTTGTCCGATTGACTAATTTTAGCAAATTGTTATTGGAATTCGGTCACATAAGTTGCACATGCTAGCGGCTAAATTTATAAAAAAAAAATAGAAAAAAGAAAAATTGTGTGTAACCCATAATCTATAATAAAAGGGCACTAATTACTTGCATGCATAGTAGTCATGTAGCAAAAGAGTGAAGACTAATTACTCAACTTGCGACTAATTAGTGCCCTTTAATTACAAATTATGGCCACCAATATTTTTTCCTTCTTTCTATTTTTTTTTTCCAAAAATTAGCCTCAGGCACTTGCTACTGACATGACCGAATTCAGATAAAATCAGTCAATTGGACTAAATATGCTTAGGACTAGATTTGCTTTTGTCCAAACTTTAAGGACTAAAACTGCTGATGCCCTAAATATTTGATACCAAAACTGCAAATTTTCTCTTTCATTTTTGGGTGAGCAAGTTATGTCACCTCTTTCCACTCTTTGAATTCACAATTTTATTTTATTTTTTGGTCGACTGGGAGGTATCCTGACCTGGTCAGAATCACCTGAACCGGCCAGACTACTCCTCTCAGGCTGTAAGAGCCCGTCCCAAGGATCACAGCACGGAAGCACCCGGGAGTTGAAGTCGAGACTTGCTCCTAAAGAGGAGACTATGGAAACCGTCTGAGTTGCCCCGGGGGGGCTTTGAATTCACAACTTACCAGGCAGTTTTTGAGTTCCAAACGCAAACTCAACCAACACAGCCAAGCGATAATTGTTTTCCTCTCACCATCAATGACATCTACTGTTTTCTTAGATGAAGAAATTATGTCAAATTTGTCATCAAAAAACTAGTATATTGGCATGTCAATAAAAAAAAAAAGAGGGAAGAGAAGAAACTGCTTCTAGGCGCAACCACAAGATGCTCCTACCTTCTGTCAAGAAAGTTTAGAATGTCTCAAGTCATATGTTCCTTGGGCACATTGGATCAGTGCATGGACTGAATAACAAACTAGCAGTGATTACGTCATCTCAAATTGATATAACTGAGCCTACACAGTGGAAGACGCAGTGTCCGTCATCTTGATCTACATAAATTTATGGTCTCTAAAACAAATGCAACCAGATATGTTCACCAATGACTGTATTTTATACCCAGTAAAGGTAATCCTAATTAATATCAAGTTCATCAATAATATTTTCTACCTATATAATTGAGTCTTGACCTCCTGCTTCTTACAGGAGTGAACCAGTTCTGTGTGTTGGCCATCTTGGATCTAAGTTTTTTATACTCTCTGGATCTAATTACTCCCTCCATAATTCTAATATCTTCACAAATCTCATGCCTAGCAAGAGATGCCATGCCTGGTAGAATGTCCTTCTGGAAGTCCTTCATTCTCCTACCCCTCCTCAATCTAATTCCGTAATCTTTCTTGTCTGTGTCATTCACTTCCATGGGCATTGAAGACACACAGTAGTCTTCTACGTTGCTTTCCTGCAGCTTGAGCACCATGGATTCAAAAGTATCTGAAGAACACTGTGGCTGATCTGTCTTCCCTTTCTCAATCTCATTCATCTTGTCAACCTCAGCAACACGATCATCCTCCTCTCTACTCGATATTTCCAGCAAAAAGTACATCAGAGAAACGGCACCTTTTTGGATTAGAGCATCATCTCGTGCTGATCCTTCTGTTTTCCCATCAAAGGATTCAGATTTTGATTCAGCGTGAATAGAAGATTCATCTTGAGATGACTCAGAGTTTTGGAAGGAAACAGATTTTCCCACACGAGTCCCAGATTGCACAGTCTTAAAGCTACTTGAAGGATCAGTTCCAATACAACCAAACTTGAACGAGGCAGGGGAACTGTCTCTGTCCTCATCCTCGATGTTATCTCCCCTAATACATAAATTTGGAGAAATGGCATCCACTTCACCCATCATATCATCCACTTCGATCATCGTTTTGCCTTTATGATTTTTTCTGGGAAGATTTGACACAAATTTTGCATCTTTATGTTGCAAGTTATCAGTGAGGCAGTCATGAACATCACTTTGGTCAGATGGTGACTTGAAACATGACTCTAGATCAACAGAGAGTGATTTACTTCCAGTCATGATAGTGCTACTATCGGCGCTGTTGGAAGCCATCACTGTAATATTCAGGGTATCTTCTTTAGTCATAGCAGAAATGCACCTACTCTCTGGTTTTCTACTAGTTCCAACAGGTGACGAGACTTTGTGCCATTCACCACTCACTCTCTCTGAAACACTAGAAGAGGCACCAGCTGAGCACTCCATTACAAGGTACTCCTCTGAGTGAGGTGCTTCATCAAGCAGAGGCTTGTTAAGGTCTATGCATGCAGCTTCACGGGAAGGACAAATGTTGGTCGCACAAGATATACCCATACTTGGAACGTTTCCAAGCCATTTTTTAGCCCCTGCACAAGGTGCAGAATCGGGAATAAAAATCAAATAACTGATGTGAATAATTTGGTACTCTTATGTGAGAAAAATGCATAGACAATGCCATGCGTGCAATATAAAGATTATCAAAGCATGGGAAAGTGCCAACCTTGATCTAAGTTGTTCTGCTCTAGAAAATTTTTAGTCTCATCTACAAGTGACTGAGTTCTCTTAATTCCATCATCAAGATATTTATTCAGGCCATTTGGGCAGCTGCAACTAATCTGGAAAACATGCAGGTTTCCAGAATCAGCAGAGCAAGCAGCACAGCCGAGTGCAGACTTAGGTTGGATATCTCTACTCAATGCTCTGGGAGCTGATTCCTCTAAGTCAATTGCATATTGGGAGGATATCGAAGTGAGCTTTTTATCCCAAATTTTCTTGCAACTCTTATTTTGCATAGTGTCCCCACTGATGCTCAAGGAAAGCTGAACTTGCTGAACTTCTTCTGAAGAAGCTCCTAGCTCACCATCAAAATACTGATCTACTTGTACAGGATTTTCTGCAGTACCCCAACCATCTCCCTTCTTAGGGAAATGTAGATCACTATGTTTCACGTGGTGACTGGTTGAAACTTCAGCATCCATAGGTCTTCGTGAGATTCCTTGAAAAGAGGAGCTTGCATACTGTTTGGTGGACACATTAAGGACATTAATCAAATCAAAGTGTAGTACTCACAAATAGGAAACTTATTGTTTGGCATATAAGATTGCAAAGAATACAGCACAAGAGGCAAACTAAACAGTTTTGCTCCATGTAAAAGTAGGCTGCCATTACCATGTGTACGAGGGAGCTAAATATCTTAAGAAAATCCTTTTCATGCACCATTTAGATGATAAATGACTAAAGACTTTTGTTTCCTTTTCTGATGGACAGGAGCATAAAACAACCATGCCTCAGAGTAGGTTGTCTTGTCCAATAAAGAAACAAAAATGCAATCACCAAAAGTTTACTCTTATATCTACAGTTTATCAATTGCACAAATGTATAATATTGCAAGCAATTCATATCATGTACCACTTAATTGATAAAAGAGTAATGACTTCTCTTTCCTCTTTTGATGGACAGGAGCACACAACCCATGCCTCAAAGTAGGTTGTCTTGTCCAATAAAGAAACAAAAATGCAATCACCACAAGTTCACTCTTACATCTACAGGTTATCAAAAATCGCACAAACATATAATATTGCAAGCAAGTCATAACTTCTACAAGCGGAAAACGTTGTTCGTCTCACTCAGATTCAACCTACCTCTTTCAACCGCAAATTCTTCATCAGAATCGTTTGTATCTGGTACAACCGATGAAGTTCCTGGACCTGAACATCATAAGCAATGAGATTGAAAAATCAGTGTGCAAGAAGTCATGCTTAGTTCATGCAAGAAAACAATTTCAGCTAAGCCAAGGGCCATGTCATAAGAACAGAGTACAATGTTCAGATACTCATAGATTCAGGAGTGAGACCCAAATTTTACACAAGTTTTTGTGGGAAATAGGCATCACCAGATTGGTTTTCAAAATCGTCCCTGCCACAACCCCAAGCCCAAATATAGAAATTTCAATTGTCTTCAGAGATACACTAACTATAAAGCAGCAGATTTAGCTGATAGATCTTGGAGCATCAATTACTGACATAATTCATTACGAACAAAATTCACTTTCAGGCACGGGCATTAGATTGAATTGACTGATCATAAAGGCTCAGAGTTTGGCTTACTAGACAGCCATCACATAATTCATTAGCATGATGAAGAGAAAACACGGTCAGGCTTTTCAATTATTACTTCTACAGGTTGCTCTGGCTATGAAGTGCATAATCAGTTTACCTGCTTCTTGAATGTATACTCCTGACTGAGCATTTTCTGCTTTAGAGCTTCTCTGGGGGATCCATCATGACTGTACTTCTGACGTAAATAATGATCACCTCTTCTGGGTAACATCCTGTCCCCTAATAACTGAAACTTCGGTCAGCACTTATTATTTTGCATACTCACGAGTAGTGCACTCTTCTGAGGAACTTTGATGTCGTAATCCGAGCCATGTTGCTGCAAAGCTATTCGTAAGTCTCCATTACTAAAATACAAATCCATCATCAGATAATGGGCTCATATCACAAGTCAACAAATGCTTGTCTTGAAAATCAAACAAATCATAAAAGAATGGATAAGGCAGCAATGAAAAGCATATCAAATAATGGAAGTAAGTTGTTTCAAGAAGATGCATATGATTTAAATGATGGAATGTTCAACATGCTGCCAGACATGCAAAGGTGTGGAAGCTTTGAGTCCAACTATAAAATTTTCCTGCAGCTTTCCATAAATAACAAGATTTAAGAAGAATACATACATAAACTAATTCTCACATACTTCTAAGATATGCCAGGCTTCTAATAACCATATGCTAAGGAGAACATAGCCAACTTCCAGAGAGTGACCGATGTCTGCTAAAGAAGATTCAGCAGAAGAAGCACGATCCACTACATTGCTCCCCCTCCCCCCCACAACACCAAAAAAAAACCAAAAAAAAATAAAAGACCCCTATAATGCTAGAATGAATCTAGCGACTAGCCAAAAGTGTGGCAATGACTTCCAAGCTATGAAATGCCATCTTCCTGACTGTCTCAGTTCAACTTCAATCTGCCTGTCTCTGAATACTGGAAACAGCCAAAAACATATCTTGGCCACAACGGGGTTAAAGCCAACTCATTTCCGTTAAAGTCTTGACTTGAAATGTCAAAATCCAAATTCAAGTGCAGCAAGATTAAATATGCAAAACGGGATATTTCAGCTGGCTCAACAGTTGCCCAAGTCGTTCTGAAGAATGTTTAAGGATCACGACTTGACTAAGTCTCGCAAAGTCTATATCAAAATTGACATGCTCTTCCTTTTATTTAAAAATCCAACATTATTCTTCCGCACAATAAAAACTAAGAATAAAAGACAAGCTCAGAGCAGAAAGCCAGCCTTTAGGCATGTTACCTTGGACACAGATTATAGATAGAGCAGCCAAAGAAAGCAGACACAGAAAAATGGATATTATATTGTATGAACTAAAAGCTTCTGAGTCTGGACAAGATTAATCCAAACGGCAAAGAGCATTATAGAACTACAACAGATGACCAAAAAAATAAAATAAAATTTGCAGTCTTAAGTTAGTACTGGGACCAAAAAGTTCAAGATCCAAAACTACAGTTCATTTTCTTTCTCACATTATTCCAGCTACTACGCAACAAACTATAACTATTTCGCAGCCACGTTTATGATTATTGCATGTACAGTTCGTACACACAGATGCACAAATATCCACACCAAAAGAAGCAGAGTATCCTATTCAATAAATCAATCAAAAACAGAGGAAAATCTTGCAATAAAAATCAGGAAAAATGCATTCCAAGAGAAGCCCACATCACGAAATATATACTTAATATGCCCACATGAATCAAAGATACAGAATGAAAGAGATACCGTGACGGAAATGAAGAAGAAAAAGAGCACTGAGCCAACATTCGGGATCAAGAAAGAAAAGCCTGCTGGCTACTTATTCCTCCACCAACCTGCACATGTTAGAATAAAACAAAGGAAAGGTAGGAAGTTGAGGACTTTACACTATTACCACATTTATTAGGCTATATTTAGTGATCCTGGACGATCAAAATAAATGCTTCTTTCCATATCCATCCATATATCTACGTAGGTATTGCTGTATGTGTATGTGTAGAAAGAGAAAAAGAAAACGAGAAAAAAGAAGAAGGGAATCAGATTGGGCTAAGAAGTCATGGTGATGGGGAAAGGGAAAGAAAAGAGAAGGAAAGGAAAGATAAATCCTTCAGGGGTGTGTGTTTTTTGAGTTCGGCACAAGCCAGCTGCATCACTCTTTCATTCCTCCATACAAAACACACCCTTTTTGTTTTTGCTTTTGTTTTTTTGTTTTTTTGGTTCTTTTCCCCCTCTCTCTGCCTCCCTTTTTGCTCTCTCTTTTTCTCACTGGCTTCTTCTATGGTGGTTTTTTCTTGTCAAGTCAAGTGGTATCTAAGGATTTTCTGCTGTCTGCAAAATATATAAGCACTTTGGGATTTCTAGGATTTTAGTGAGAGGGGGGGGGGGAGGATGCTGAGAAAGGATGGGGGTGTTATATGTCAGAGCATCGTTGGGCAGTGGGGCTGTTAACCACTCTGCGAAAAGGGACAAAAAGTAGAAAAATGGGCCAATTGAGGGAACCGAAACATACTATAGTCTACAGTATTACTATTACCCTTTGAATTTACTTTTGTTCCCCTTTACCTTTATTTTAGTAATTGTTTTGCAATGCCCCTCTTGGTAATCTCTTTTCCGTCGAGCCTAATTTGGGAACAGACAAGGATACAAGAAAAGATTTGTGTATTATAAAAAAGATCAATTGAAAAACATTTTAGAATATGAAGATAAAAAAAAATGGAAGATGATTTTTTGATTAAAATCAAAATCTTTTTCTTGTCTTTTGAAAACAAATGGATTATCGAAATGAACTTATTATTATGCATAAAAGAACGTAAGAAAAGATAACTCAGGCAAATTTCCATAAATAATACTAAAAAACATTTGTCCTCCAAATGAGACAACAATAGGATGTCATGCTCGCATGTACATTCTAATATTTATTTATGGGGCAGCTATTTACTGACACATGGGGTAATCTTATAACCCTCCAAAAATTTCACATTTGGAGGACAAAATTTTTTTTTTTTTTGAGTATTATATGTAGAAATTTGCCAAAAAAACTCGCGATATTTTCTCTCCTACATGCTTGGGAGTTTAGAAATTGTCCAAAGTTAACATGTTCAATTTAGATGTTGTAAGATGTCACCGTTTGGATTGCATTTTTCTGAATTTTTTGTACAAAAATTATTGTAGCAATTTGATATATGTGAGGTAAAAAGGTGATTGAAATTGAAAAATGTGTCCACGGAAAACGTAGCAATTTTTTCAATCCAAACGGGATCCACATATATAAAAGTCATGGAATGATTTAAAAGTCAACTTTTGAAAAACGATTTTAAGTTTTCTTAATCAAGTTGTGTATGATTAAAACTTGCAATGATTAATAGATCTATGTTTTGCTTAGTTATAGTTAACGGATTTGTTCATAATCATGCTAGTTTAGAAATGCTTTTTATAGGGTCAATGACCCGAGGCATTTTTCATTTTCGTATTGCATTTTGAGGGGGCAAAAAAAACCATTTAAGCTGTTCAAAATCTTGAATGTGATTCCTTCCCAAGTTCTGCCGATGCTCATAATATTTCATTTGCTCAGTAACCGGCTGTATATATGTTTGGAAGCACGCTAGGAGTACTTAGGACTACTGCTTATGAATCATCTTCGGCCCTGGTTCTCATTGCTTTGAATTTTGCATAAATTGATTAGAAAAGTTATTATAAAGAATAATCAGAATCAACAAAAATTACATTTCGATAGATTATAGATTTTTTTTTTCGCTATTAACAAATTTTATAATCAAATACAAGAGCAAGTGAGAAAATCAAAATAGATAATTATCCAATAATTAAAATTAATAATCAATTAAAATGATGATTCTAGAACAAGCCTAGGGTTTTTTTTTTTTCATCAGAATTGAATTGCTATTTTCTAGAGTTTTTTTTTTAAAAAAATGTACTGTATCGATTTGACATATGTGATGTTATATTGCCGTGTTGAGAATACAATAATACGCTATTGCTATTTTGATACAAGAATTTTTGTATGTAAACAAATATATCATAGACTTGTGCCCAATAATGTGGTATGCTTATACGTCAATCCATTTAACAAATACAGTGGTGGTATACGATCACGCCATTTACAATTCTAACCCTTCCACAGTCCATATTCTCAATCGAGATACATCAATACGAGCCCCATTATTTTTGGAAGTAAAATAAGGCAAGGATGGAGCCCTCAAAACTAAAAAAATGTGAAGACAGTTGTTGAAGAATCAACGTCTTCTTTATTAGTTTTAGAATTAAAGAAAATTTTGAGGTTCCTAGGCTATGGGGACCATCCTTGTAACGATCTGACTTAAAGTATTGTATCTAAATCTAATCTAACTTACGTGAGTATATCCATCGTATGGACCACGTCGTATACACTGTTGTCTACATCTACACAACTATAAAATCAGTAATTAAACACAGTTCCTTGCCAAGACCCCAGGAGAAATCAAGTATGTAGCAGAGCCTGATGAAGATAATAAAATAAAATAAAGAAAACATTTTTTTGACCTATAAGAATAACTTTATTTCTTATTTGGCTAAGTGGACTCATAGTCTACGTGTAAAATAGATTTGATGCTTGATCGTAATTTCTTGAAAATCTTGTCTTGAATAAATGATATCCAAATTTAATAAACTCAAATTATTATTTTTTTTAATAAAGAGCAAACTTCATTAATTAATTGCTGGAAATCGTCCAACAAATCATTGCAAGCAGGTTAAACATGTATTAGAAATAGCAGGCCGGATCTGTAATTTAACACATATACAATGAATTTGAAGAAATTTATAGTTTAGACAATGGTTACGTGACAAAAATCAAACTTGCACATAAAATCCAATCAGCAAATTATATAGATTCATACGTGTATTTTTTTTAAAAAAAAATTATTATGATTATTATTTTGCTTTGTGCAAGAAAATTAGGTCGATAACCTCGCTTTTGTATTAGGATAAGACGAGAAAGGTGTATTGAATCGCTTTTTGTCCTATGTTCTACGAGTGTTATCAACGGATCTAGGCAACGAAAAACAATTCGGGGCCTCTCCGGTTGTAGATGCAATCGCAAAAACAAATTTACTAAATATTGAAATGTAAATTGCCTTCTCTAGAATGGACCATATTAATCCCAAACCAATTAAGATCATTAATGGTTCTCTGCAATGAATTGCGGCTATCCCACGGAAAAAAATTTTGTGCAGAAGCCAACTACCAAGCGCATGCGCTTTCTCTTGAGAATTGACTCTTTTTTTTTTTTTTTTTCAATTGTCATTCATATTCCTCCTCGTATTCTATTTACGGGGGAGACTCAACTGAATCTATGATTTTCGATGGGGACAGAATCACCACCGGACTAGACGGGTGCACTACGCACCCGTCTGAATTTGAAGCAGAGCCACAAGAGTGACATTTTGGTGGAAGGTAAGGTTGTTCCAAAGCTTTAAGGGTTTGGAGGTGGCCACCGGCCCAAGAGCTCGTGGTTTCCTTTTTCTCGAGAATTGACGCTTGATGCAATTGTGATCTTGCGTCGGGTCAGATCAGATGCTCTCACTAAAAGCTAACCTTTTAATATCTCCTCGTTGTGGCGTTGACTATAGCTTTCTTGAAAGTTTTGATATTATGCATTAAGAAGGTAAAATCATAAAGCGGATATTTTTCTTGACAACCAGTAGAACTCTCGTAGTTTTTTTTTTTTTGACAAAAAGTAGCAAAGCCCACAAATTAGTATTCAAATTTGTTTGATTATTTTAATAAATTTGACTGATTTATTTGTCATATTGAGTTTGAAAGAGCTCCTTTTTTTTACATCAAATTTGATAGTTATTAAATATAAAAAGCTGTTCGAGTTTGGCTTGAATAATTGGTCAAATAAATTCGAACCATCTCTTATCAAACTAAATTCGATTCAAAAATCAAATAATTTGATTTATTTTTCAACCCTATTTTTAGTTTTGATGAACTGAAAGATTAAGGTTAAATTTAATTTGTGCTTAGTGTTTATTAAGCTCAACCTCGCATCCAGCATTATATACAATTGCCATTTTTCAGCTTATTGTAAAGACCAACCAAATATGAGAGAGACGTTATATTCCAAGGGTGCATGACTCGGCTTGAAGATCACTCGCAATTCTTTTTTTTTTTTACAATCACTCCCATCTTACCATTCAACCCAATCCTTTCCTCAAAATCATTCACACCTTGCTGCCAAATTGCCAGGTGGTAAGAGATGCATTTGCTACTGAATATAATATAAAGTAAACCACGCAAGTTACGCTACTAATGCCCAGTTGCCCTCCTGCAATGCACTCAGGAGTCAGGTTCTGGAAAGGAAGGTTCTACTCTCAACCTTCTACGCACTTAAATGGCCTTAGATTAAGGAGTTCAAAAATGATGATGTTGTCTACAACCATGACCGGGTAAGGAGTGAACCCGCTTCAACTCTGTGAAACTAAGTGGTGGAATAGATAGGCTATGAACCCTGTAAATTTGACAATTAAATCCAGATTGACATTTTTAATCCAAATTTTTACAACCTCGACTTTATTTCAAAACAAAAACATAAAGGTAAAATCATAATATTCTAAGTATTTTAAATGAGTACAGCAGCTTGATATGGAAATCAAAACCTTAAGCAAGTTGGAATTATCGAAAGGGTGGTTTTGTTTTGTTTTTTTTTTTTTTTTTACTTTTCATAATTTAAACTTTTAATATTAATCCTTGATTTCATTGATTCCATCGGTTTAACCAGTAAGTTAGTGACCTACTAATTGAACCATTAACCCGTTGAAAAGCCCCGAGTGAGTTGGGGTTTAATAACCGTGCTAGAAACCAAATAATGTACATGAATCTCACAGTATTTTTGTGCACGCATATGGTTGTAAAAATCACTACTTCAATATTAGAATCCGCAGAAATCATCTCAATCGTTCAATAAGCAATAAAAACCCCAACTATCCTTGCCGGCTTGGGCCAGTCGCCAAGGACCACAGCAAGTGCTCATCCTCCTCTCCGGCTTGTTAATAGTGTGTAGTGTATATGGATAATGGTGATACCAAAAAGACAAAAGATAAAGGAGGGTCATTCAGCGGGATCAAGAATTAATGCGAAGTTGGCTTCCTCTTGAACCTTCAAAATTTTTCATCAGGCCAAGCCGGGATGATTCATTCCCATTTGTAAACCTTTTATATTCAAGTCAACTTTGAAATTAGAGACATAATATGTAATCTAGGGACGTACGTTTAGTTAGTTAATCGTGCATTGCAAATGGAGTTTTCCATTTCAGACATGGTTAGCTATCTCGGCTGAGTCATAACCGGAACGGAGGGGACCGATATGATATAGATTTTCAAATCGTCAATAATCTCGTATCCGTGATGATTATATATTGACCGATTCAAATCCGTAATGAATGGAATTGACCAAAATATCTAAGTCAATTCAAAGTTGATTCCGATATTTTTTTTAGATTGATCCTTTTATAGTATTTTCTATTTTTAGTAATTTTTTGGATTGTTTGAAAATTTTTATATATTATAATGTACGTATAATTCGATATCCAACAGATATATTACCGACGGATGTGAAACAACTGTAACTGTGATGCGACCACGACCCGCGATGACGAACCATGATTTCAGAGAATTAAGATAGGTAGGTGTTACAGTTATTCTTTTATGAGTTTATCTAACGAGCGTGTACTGAACATTCGTTAAAAAAAAGTACTTCAAGTGTTAAATTCGTCAAAGGAGTGGTGTGGTTCAACGATCCTACTGTTTCTGTTTTTTAATTTATTTATGATGATGATGAGTGAGAGAAGTTTACCCTTTCTTTGTCAAAATGCACAGCGTTGGTTATTCGTATCTTACTTGCCATGAGTCGAGGACATAGTGTATATTTTTATGCCGAATTTCTAGATTCCTTATCATGGTCCACGGTCTTCGTATCCAATCAACATTCACAGGATCAGAAAGACAGATATATCAATGGGACCTCAAGGGTCGGCCCCTTCCATAATACCGCTCTGCTGTTCTTTTTTCTTATACTAATCTTTTTCTCCTATACATATATATATATTCCCATCACAGAAGTTTAGAAATGGGGCATCACAAGTTGTCTTTCTCTTATACAGTAGTTTATTTGCAACAAAATAAAAGATAAAACAAAGTAGCAGCAGGAGTCGTCAATCTATTTGATAATTGTGTCTTGAAACTTTTTAGTCCACGGTCCCTCGAAAAAGAATCCAGCTTTGTGATCAACAGACAAAATGTTAATGCACGATTAGTTTCGTATGCGTATTAAATTTCTTGCTAATGATGTTTGTATGGTGAGACCGGACTAGGCCCCACCCTTAGTTGTATCAAATGTCCATATGAACTTACATCTAATCATAAGCAGAAAAATGAAGGCGACACCACATTTAGTCCTAGCCCTTGCTTGAGGTTATATAGAAAATGACGAGAGTCGAAAGAAAGACCAAAAACTATTCAACTGTACTCAAAATTTTTTAACCACTTGGAATTCCATGGTATGGTCGAATTACTAGTATAGTGTCTTGTGAATTCTGATCAATTTTTGGTACCAATTGGAAACCCAATCCCTGAACCAACCTGTCGAATTTCTGGATTGGCTGAAGTAAGGATGCCTCAATTTTCTTCCCTCTTGTTTCTCTGGTATCCCGAGGCGTATCATATTTGCTTTTGGATGATGGCTTCTCTGGAAAAACAGAAACAGTAGGATCATTGAACCAGACAACTCTTTCACTGCATATCTTCAAATCTTGTGTATCAACTTAGCTTCAGAATGCTTCTCAGGGTAACTGGGTTGCAGTAGTCTTTTCAAGAAGCTTAGGCTTTGCATCCTCTACTCTAGCAGAGTGTTGGGCCTTACGAGATGGATTGTCCTTGGTAGTCCAATTTAACATCAACTTCTCAATAGCTGAAGTGGACTCTTTAATTGCCTCAAATCAGACAACATCAATTCTCATGTCTATTCGCCTCAATTACTTGATTGCAAGCAACTCATGGGTCAACCAGAAGTTCCTTCTTGGGCGGTAGGTGAGGGTTCAAACTTCACCTGCAGTAAAAAAAAAAAAAAATCTAAGGATAGTGTTATAGCACTCCCTTGACCTAGTTGAGTCTTAATACCAACTAGCTCCTAACACAAGCCTCCTTAGGCTCCCCCTTCCCCTAGATTAGGATAGAGTAGGTTATACAACCCCTTCTCCTAGAGTAGGTTATACAATGTATCGTTGCTGGCAAAAAAAAAGCAACTCATGGGTCAACTTGGGCAGGTCACCCCGAGGCATAACCATTTTTGGGGCTGAAAAATTCAATACGTGAACGTGGTAGGTGTCTACTTTGGGTTGATTGATGCTACTTTGTTTAGCTAGTTTTGCAGCTTACTTCATCTGAACTCCCCCTTTGCATATCTATTTACATAGTAATATTCATAAAGAAGACACGATTACAAAGCATAGAAAATTTTACATATCCGGAAATTTTGTTGCCATTTATGCAACGCCAAGCAAATTGAGTGACAATTTTTGGACTGCTAGATAGGTTGAGAGGTCGGCCGTTGAAGCAGTTATGATATGTTTAATGCGCCTTAATCAGATGAAATCAACTGGAAAAGAATGGGATGGCAATAGCTTTGAGGCTATAAAGATGCATGGCTGATTACTAGTTCTCTGGGCATCATTATCAACTCTTATTAGCATCGAATATCCAATTCCAAACCGGAGGAGCTAAAAATGGCCTCAAACTAAGGTGAAGAACTGATCGTGGACGGTAGACAGAAAGAACTACAAAAGCTTCTTGAATTTACTGGTGCTCCAACTCTATGTGCAGCCTTCACAGCTGCCATTGAGCTTAATTTGTTCGAGATCATAGCAAAATCTGGCCGCCCTAATGCCCACCTTTCTTCAGCTCAGACCGAGTTCAGGCCAGAATTTGCTATGATCTCGGCAATGTTAGACCGACTATTACAGCTGCTCTGTAGCTATTGTATTCTAAAATGCACCCTTGTTTCCACTGAAAATGCACATACAACAAAGTTATATGGTTTGGCTCCAATGTGCGAGTTTTTTGAATACATAGGAAATTCTAGAGGACTGAATGAGGTTTTCATAATGGTCAGCCACACATCTGTTTTTATGATGGGTTCAGTTCTTGAAAAATACAAATGATTTGAGGATCTAAGAGAGGCAGTGGATGTTGGAGGAGGGCGTGGTGCTACTCTTAAGATGGTGGTTTCCAAGTACCCTAGAATCCGAGGGATCAACTTTGACTTGCCATTTGTTATCAAGAATGCCCCAGCCTGCGCAGGTAGTACTATCTGATTAAAAACAACAAACTACACCTTTTTATTCATTTCAATTTCTGAAGATTGGATTCGAACTAATTCTTGAAATTCGTCTCACCCCATAAGGGGTAATAGAAATTTATTCAGATCAACTGGTTCTAGTTTGTGTGTGTATATATATACTGTTTTCGAATTGTCTAACCTGATAAAAGAATTAGTTCATTACGTAAATTTCCCTGCTACATCTTTTACAATGAGGCGGAGACTTGATAGTTGATAGTTGATACTGCTTTTTTTTCCTAGGTGTGGAGCATGTTGAGGGAGATGTTTTTTCAATGTTTTCCTAGAGGGGAGGCAGCTATGTTTGGATAATCAATTTTTTGAAAAAATTTTTCACTTGCATCATAAATACTTTTCTCAATCCACTTTTTTATATTTCCAACTACTTTTTTTATCTCACATACATCACATCACAAAAAGTGCTACAGTAATTATTTCAAATAATTATTTGGAATAATACAAACTCTATCCAAACAATTATCTTACTCTATCCAAATAATTATCTTTCTCAAGGTTAGTGGTGCTAAAAACACGTTAATTTATTCTACAAGTAGTGATAGACATACCAAAAAAGGAAAAAAAAAGTATAATCTGCCTAATAACTAATTAAATTTATTTGCATATCATCCTTTGAATTCAATATTAACTAAAAAACGTTATGCTAAGTGATTTTGTTTTTGGACATCATGAATTGCATGTGCATGCATGCGGTATAATTCATTCTACATTTGGTTTGCTATAACGAGTTGCTCTTCTCAAAATGCCAGTAGTATATACTCCACGACTGGACGCGATGACCAATGGCTTCAGCATTCCTATCTCTATACTCCAATGTAGAATAACGTTTTTATTTTCCAAAAAAAAAAAGCTCATAAGGTTTTCATTGGTAAAAAAATGCTCTAATCCAACCTAGCTCTTAGATTTTATAGAATCATGAGACCAATATGCTTATTACTATGTTAGCCACAGAGTGCAAAAAAGCGTTTGGTTTAATGTCACTTTTACATTGAGAATTTTATCTTATCCAAAATTACTCGCTTTGATTTCTTACATTTAAGCACACTAGTGAATGTCTCAATTTTAGTAATAAATGCATATTAAATGTAAATAGGATTTTTAGAAAGAATCCGATTCTATCCATTAATTGCGAACCATACTCGATCCACATAATCAATGATAATTTACAATTACAGTTGCATTTGTAGAGGCCCCTCACCATGTTTTGCAATTCCTCCTCGAATTTGCATATTTTGAAAGTACAATAAAACAACAAAAAAACAAAAAAAATAAAAAAAAAATACAAGAAACCAAAAAAAAAAGAAAGAATAAAAGATAAATACAGAGATTTTCACATTCTCGGCTTTTTCGTCAACAGACAGTCACGTATAACGAGTTAACGACGCCACATGATTGTTCCAGCCCCAGTCCCGACTGTCCGGTTTTCTAACCCGCCAACCATGTATCCAATTGCCTCCAAAAACGTCGCCGTCATCGGGGCCGGCGCTGCTGGGCTCATCGCTGCACATGAGCTCCGACAGGAGGGTCACAAAGTGGTGGTTTTTGAGAGAGAAAACCAAGTGGGAGGCATATGGGTCTATAATCCAGCGACCGAATCCGACTCTCTCGGAGTTGACCCGACCAGAAACCTGATCCACTCGAGCCTCTACGCTTCTCTCCGGACCAACTTGCCTAGAGAAGTAATGGGTTTTCGGTCATACCCGTTTTTGTACAAAAGGGGAAGTCACCGGGACCCGAGAAGGTTCCCGGGGCATAGAGAGGTATGGGAGTATTTGAAGGACTTTGCAGTTGATTTTAAATTGTGTGGGCTGGTGAGGTTCGGAACTGAGGTATGGCATGTGGGATTGATGGAAAATGGTAAATGGAAAGTGACGTCAAGAAAAAGGGAGGGAAATGCATATAATGATAGGAATCAAGAAAAGTTGGATGAGGTTTATGATGCTGTGGTAGTTTGTAATGGGCATTATACAGAACCCCGACCTGCAGAAATCCCAGGTACCACCTCAAAATAGAAAAAAAATTACTTGTAAGGTTGAATGTTATGATTATAGTACTATTATACGATGCTCTGATTTGGTTGACTGAACTATGGAATATGCAAAAAGGAAGTTATATGACTCAATCAACGATAGAGAATTGGGTTGGAAGGAATAATCTAGTGGGTTTCATCTGTCGGGAGTTTTTTATTTTTTGGGTATTATGATAAAGGTGTATGGAATTTCATTTTGTATTTGTATGAAGAACCAAACTTTAATGAGTTGAGCTTGTTGAAAAACTGGGGTATTAAGATTGCTGGCTCAAGATTGGTTTTTAATGCTGTAGACTTGTAAAAGGTGTTCCAAAAAAAAAAAAAAAGACAAACTTTAGGATGCCAATCTTGTATCTCGTGAGATTGGTTGAATTTCAGTTTTCCAGGGAAAACTAGAGTTAGATTTTCAGTTATTAACTTTTTGTTTGAGCTAGCCGTTATTGGTGGAGAAACTGAGCTTGGCATAGGAGTATAAAACTTTGAAGGTTGCTTATGTTTTAAAACAGTTTGTAATTGTTTTCTTGGTTCATGACATTGAGGATGCTAGTTTCTTTGGTGGTTTGTCCAGGACAGGAATTATGAAAAGAATATGTCAGATAATTTACTTGTCCAGGACAGGAATTATGAAAAGAATATGTCAGATGATTTAGTAAATTACATGTTATCAGACAATGATTTTGATCCTTGAGCATTATGACAGAGGTCTCGTTTGGTTGTGAACCGCAAGGTTTGAGGTTGTTTTATTCGGTAATCCTTCTTTGTTACAATTGCAAATTAAATTGCTTACGTTGCTGTTCTCCAATTCTGTAACTTCCATTGTGTTGTTCTGATTGTTAGATTCCTACCATTTTATGGGCTTCCAATGTTTGAATAACCTATTATGTCATTCTGCAAAACTTATGCCTGATTCTGGTTATCCATATTATACAAATATAAATTTGAGACTTGTTCTGCTAAATTGCAGGGGTTGAAGGATGGCCGGGGAAGCAAATCCATAGCCACAACTATCGTGATCCTGAACCTTTCAGAGATCAAGTATGTGGCAGGTGCCCCTTGTTTTCCTTTTGTCCTCCCTACATTTAAATCTCATTATCAATCTCTCAGAGCTGCATAGCATGCTTAATGGTTTAAGTTCGTTTTGTTTTTACATTTTTTATTGTTCCCTGTGAGATTTTCTTGGAGTTGTGTGCTTTAAGTTAAAGAAATGATTTTAAATGTCTTTAATAATGTTTACTGAGCATTATTTACTAGTGTTTCTTATTCTCGATTTACTTATGCCAAGATTCATTATCTGGAGCTTTTCACCTTCCAATTGGTTCATTAGAGGACAGCTAGCTCTTTGAACAGGTGTTATATTTATATGGCATGACTTAAAGCTGGCAAACATTTAGTGCTTCTCTTTTCTGAAAGCCTTTATATCATCAGAAGTTGACTCCTCTATCGTTCTGCAATGACAATGGATTTGTCTGGGTTGCAATCTAAGCGGTAGCATAAAATTTGCTTTCATAGTTTGTTTAGCACAGAGGTGCATATTCTTGCAAGTGACTAATTAGTTGATGGGCGAGAATGCATTGGTCTGTGATAGAAGGGCAAAGAATAAATTTTTGGCTTCACTTTGTACATAAGAAGTTGGCTATGGTGCAGTAAGATGTTTTATTATAATTAGAAGCTTAATCTGTGGCATTGGAAGGGGAGCATTTAGAATAAAATATGACTCAATGGCAAGATGATTTTTTTTTTAACACTATTTGTTCTCTTTTTATGAACCGGATCCCAATTCAACATGCTCTGACAGGTGGTGGTGTTGATAGGGAGTGCAGCTAGTGCTGATGATATCTCCAGAGAGATTGCTAAAGTTTCTAAAGAGGTTCATATAGCATCGAGATCAGTCCAAAATGGCATCATCGGAAAGTTGGCTGGCTATGATAATATATACCATCATTCTATGGTAAAATTGCTGATCCTGTAACTGTAAGATATCCAGCACAGGGTTTTTAACAATCAGGTGCTAAACGTTTTAGAATTGGAGTGCTGAATGTAACTGACAATCACAGATAGAAAGCACACAGGGAGATGGTTCAGTTGCTTTCCAAGAGGGTAGTGTAGTCTATGCTGATATCATCCTGCACTGCACCGGGTATTACCTTGATTTTGCTTGCAACTATTAGAAACTATTGCTTGTACTATTTATTTAAATACAGAACTAAGATATTCTAGTTGAAGATTTGTAATAACTCATTATTCATGTTCTTTAAGGTACAAATATCACTTTCCGTTCCTTGAAACTGATGGCATTGTAACTGTGGATGACAACCGTGTGGGGCCACTTTACAAGCATATTTTTCCTCCAGCTTTAGCGCCATGGCTTTCATTCGTTGGGTTGCCGTGGAAGGTCTTTTGCAGATATTCCATGTTCTGAGTTGATGAACTGTTCTGGTTGATAATCCATTTAATTGATAAAAGCAATCTTTTTTCCCTTTGACTGCTAGGTTGTACCTTTCCCCTTGTTTGAATTTCAGAGCAAGTGGATAGCTGGTACTTTGTCTGGTCGGCTTTCACTTCCTTCTCCCAAGGAGATGATGGCTGATATTCAAGCTTTCTACTCATCAATGGAAGCATCTGGCACTCCAAAGCGGTATACTCATAACATAGCTGGTTATCAGGTAGAAAATTCTCGCCTCCTTCTCAAATTGATGTCATTGTCTAGGATATTCTGCTTCTGATTTGATTTTGCTGCAGCTCTTCATTGTCATCTTTCACCAGTGTGACCCTTTTTGCACTTGCTTTTCCATGAACCTAGGCTAGAGTTTTTAATTTCTGCCCAACTCAACTGATGCGTTGTTTTATATCGCCAGTTCGAATATGACGATTGGTTGGCTGCTCAGTGTGGTTGTCTGCCGACTGAAGAATGGAGAAAGCAGATGTATGTTGAAACTTCCATGAGAAAGAGGTCTCAGCCTGAGACATACAGAGACCAGTGGGAAGATGAACACTTGGTCAGACAGGCAGAAGCTGATTTTTCACAGTACTTTTCAAAAGTTCCTAGTAGCTAGATATCCAAATCACCCTTCTAATTGGTTGATTTGTTGATGGGGTTTGTTTATTGTTTAATCCTTGATTTTCTCAAAATCATAGAGACTGGTGAATAGTGGCAACACAGTCTCACGAGTCAGTAATTCTCATGAACGTAACACTTGCAACCCAATAAGTTGAATAAGAGGACTCGATGTTACTTTTTTTTTTCCAGCTAATGAGAATAATACCTTGAACTTTTATTTATTTTTTCATCTTAAACTCATTAGCTAAATGGGGTATATTGTAAAGAACAGTATCAGTTAAAAAGTACAAAAAGATCAGCTTCAATTAAAGGAAGGAAAAGCCATCTACTATTGCTTGTATTCGTACCAGAGAACAAGATATTGTCCACAGAATATTGCTTTTGATGGGAGTAAAGTACATAAACGATGAATGACCAAAAAAAAAAAAAAAAAAAAAAAGAATACTGATTTGGTAACTGGGCTTAATTGTACAAAAAGAATACTGCTTAAAGTACAAAACGATGAAGACCAAAAAAAAAAAAAAAAAGAACACTGCTTTTGGTAACTGGGCTTAATTGTACAAAAAAGTGTGCACCAGCCGGGAATCGAACCCGGGTCTGTACCGTGGCAGGGTACTATTCTACCACTAGACCACTGGTGCCTCCACGCGACTCCAAGATTCAGGTAGTCCATTAAAACTCTCTATTTTGTCAAATCATCGACATTCACTCTGAGGTTCTGGTCTTCTGCTTTGAATCTTTATACAAGCAATATGTACCAAATTTACGATGCCGTCTAAAGAAGTAGAAACGCTGTAGTTTACTCGCAACACAACCCCAAAAGGAAAAAAAAAGGTAGGCAGTTGAAGTATACCCTTTCGCCGGCTGACGCGAAAGTTCATTTCTGGTCCAAGCGACGAAGATAATGAGGGCGCCCAAGCCTTGAGGCCACATCATCTGTGTGTTTCTCATCAACATTGTCAGAGGTAGCAGTGCAAGCTAGGGACTTGCATTTACTTGCAGACAGACTTCTCAAGGAAAGCAGCTGAATACATGGTTCTGAATTCTTTTTTTTTTTTTTTTTTACATGGTTCTGAATTCTTCTCTCGGGTTTTCTTGTCACCTTCAACCTCTGCTTCGGATTTTTTCATGCGCTCAACCTGGATTTGTCAAGTGTCGAAGATAACACAGTCAGAAATTAGCATATCTTATATACCATGCATTATGATAACATTTTATGTTGTTTGAAGAAATATGAGGGTCCGACTTGGAATACATACATCAGGTTTTGTGTCTAAACTCTGAAGTCCTAGAGGCTAAGTGGGAGTTGTCGCCCCGGGGGTTAGTGCGATCGGTCCAGTAGTCTCCTCTTCAGGAGCAACGTCCCGTGTTCGACTGCGTTGAAATCTTTGGGACGGACTATTCCAGCCTGAGGGGATTAGTCTGGTCAATTGACCAGGATACCCGCAGTTGACAAAAAAAAAAAAAAAAAAGGGGGAGTTGTTGTAAAATTGATATTAACTGCATTATCTACAAGTTCAAGACAAAATAGCTCTTGACATATTTCGACTTCTGATCAATCCATTCCTACAGATAGAAATTAAATGTGCACTCAAGAGAAGACATGATTGAGCTGTACAATAATTTTCCGCCCGCGTATGGTTACATACAAGTTTTGTAATTTTGAATTCCTCAATAACAGTACACATCGTACAAGAAAATTTCCCAACAAGGCAGACAGACAAAATTATCAATTTTGTAAAACGAAATTCTAGGTAAGTTACCTTTATCTCCTCAAAATTTACAATTATGTGGGGGAAAACTTAACATGTTAAATCATGAGAAGTGAGATTCACAATTCCAAATTTGCCTTTCACACTTCAATCTACTCATTGATTTAGTTGTCACCAAGGAGTTTGAGAGATTAATTTGGGAGTATAGATATCACTTTCCTAAATTATGCTAATCACAAAAATATCAAATTTTATATGTTTAACTAACAATATAACTACTATATATATATATATTGTATGTATGTGTGTGTATCTTTGCCAAATGAACTATGAAAAGAATGTAATTTCGCCACATAAACCATGAATATAGGTATAAACTATGAACTATGAATGATTTTAAAAATTTCTTCCTAGAAATCACCATAGAAGAACGACAACATAGTCAAATACTTATAGATAGAAAACAATAGTTCATGCAATTTTATTGACGACATAACCAAGTAAAATAACTAAAACATATACAAAGAATACTTGGAGACTTTGAGTATTAATTGGGAAACAATAACTAATATTTCTTAATAATCAATTCCTTTTGAGCTTCTCTACTTCTTCTCTCAATCCCAAATAAAGTTTTTTTTCCCAATAGTTCCAAAACTCAAACCCCTAATAAGATTTTTTCTAGTTCTCCCATCAAACTCGTCATATAGGGATAAACTACTTAAAGAGCCCCTAAATTATTTCATTGTCAACTTTTGACTGCATATCTATAATGATTCTTAAATTGGTACGTAAACAATAAAAAATGTGTCAAATTTGGATCTATCACTACTATTACATTTGATAGATCTAAATGCAGAATTTGATGGATCTAACAACATAAATAAATTGAAAGGTCAAACTTTGACACTTTTTATTGTTGAGGGACCAATTTAAGATTTAAAATGAATGACAGATCAAAAATCGATAATTACAATAGTTTAAAGGCTCCCTAAGTAGTTTACCCTAAATTTTCTCTACTTGTAGTAGTGAAATGAAGAAAGAACTAGCAAAATTTAGAAGTTTCAATGTGTGGGAAAAAAGTTATGAAAACTTTTCAAATGAAGTTATATATTGAGAGCACATTGTCAAAGAAGGAGAAATAGAGGTGAAGTTAAGTTTTTATTGATTGGTTTTTGATCCAAATAATAGAGGTGAATGGTTTATTTTTCATTGGTTAGTGTGTTAATTTGACATAGAAAAAGTGACAAACAAGGAATAACATCAAATAAATATCTTATTAAAGATGGTAGAGACAAAATTCTTTAATTATCAGGGCAAAATTATAAACTTCTACGCAAAAATTACAGATTTTGGTGAATTTAATGAGGGCAATTGCCCCCAATGCCCCGTTGTCCGTCTCTGGGTGAAAAACTTTGCTTTGCTGCAGTACCTATAATCAACTCTCTGTTTCAACTTTCATCCCATTGTATCTCCGTCTCTTTTGCTTTGCTGAAGTACGTATAACTTTAACTCTGTATTAGAAGAAAACGTAAAAATAATTAATTAAGGACTACCAAACTCATTATCTTCGCCTCCTCATTTTCTTATACCAAAGAGATCATGGACTTCTTAGTCTTCTAAATAACAGAAAATGGTAATTAAGTGTGTGCAAGAAACTAACAAAGTGCATGAATATCATTTGGAATTAAAGTGACGTGATATGCACATCCCTAAACGTTTGTAGATCATGGAGGAGAATGATTGAATCCTAGAGAAGCTGACCTTGCAAGCTATGCTGCAGGAGGAGTGGTGATGATGGAGGTTTCTCTCACAAACATGGCAATGGCCAGTTTCAACCTTCCATTTTCCTTTAGTAGCGATCGGTCTTTGATTCAAGAACAGTACTTTTTTGCCATTGGTTTTGTATGTATGCATGGTTCAAAATTCCACACAAAATAAGAATATGAATGCATAGGAGGAGCTTAAATATCAGCGCGGATGACGACAAGAGTAGCAGATGATCTTCCTCTCCCCCCCCCCCCTTAAATGAATGGGAGAAATATTGGGATGAATGAGAATTGAACTGCCATCTAAAACGATTAATTAAAAGACGCTCAACCTTTAAATTTTATTCAATTTTTCCAGAGCATTAGATAACTGGAATATGTGCTTTCCGAAACGTAATGCACCAACTGATCCCTGAGAATTAATTTAGAAAGCCGAAGGGGCACTTAGTTCTCAAATGATATGTGCAAAAGCAACAGCCTAAGATTGATTGCCGTTTAAACAAAGATTTTGAGCAAGGATTGAACAGCTACTAAATGCAATGTCAAATTGGTTGGTTCATCATGATTTGTTTCTTTCCTTTTCTGTGCTAAATAAAAGGGTGAAAAGCGCAGCCCGGATTGCTTGCCGGTTTTAGGGTTTCTAAACAGCCAATGTCACCATATAATGCATGCAACCAAATGCGTGTGCTAGGACATGAAATATAAATGCAAAGATATAATAAAAATTGTGTTTACCAATCAATTGCATCCATCTAAGTTCTAATTAAACCATTGCGGGCCATCATTTACAAGGTGAAACCCTCTATCTGGGCATTGTGAGATATTTCATTTAAATGTGAAAAACTATCTGACTTATAGCTGCTTGGTTAAGAAGGTAAGCACGTTATAGTAAAAAAACCAAAGAGAAAAATATGGGTTTTAGAGTAATAGGGTTCATTTCGAGAAATTTTCATCACGAACTTATTGAAAAAGAAGTGAGTTTATTCATCTATGATGATACCCCACTAACTAATAGTCTCTCTCCTCAAACATGAATTTTTTAATATTACTTTTCGTTGGAAGGGTTGACAATGTTATCAAAATGTCAATTTGAGGGGCGCTAAGTGAAATTTTAAAAATCTCAAAAAAGTTAAGTGATATTTCATAAAACCTTAAAAGGATTGTTTCTGAAATTATCCCTAAAAACAAAATCATCCTTTTCCCATGTTCACATACTGGTGCTTGTAAGTTGTAACTTGTAGGACACGGGCGGGTGATTCCCGATTATGTTTTCTCGGCCGCAATCGACTTTTCGAAGAACTTTACCACACGAAAGCAATTTTCCCAAGGCCGCAAAAATGTTCTATTATGTCTTACCATTTTGATTTTAAGCTACAGGTTGAATTCCACTCGCATAGTCGCATATGCTAAGCTGTTCCTGTCCCTACTTGCCCATCGAAATGAAAATGAAAATGAAAATGAAAATGAAAATGAAATTGAGGGCGGTTGCATAAGAGTCTATCGAAAGAGTGATAGCGATCTAAGGATGTCAATCTGCCACCAATCTCAGTTCAATGTAACAAAATTACACATATTTGATAGATTGAAAAGTACAAGTCATGTGCCCCAGTGGTCAGCTCGATTGGTTCTGGTCGTCTGTCTTTATAACTGCTTGATTAAGAAGGTAAGCACATTATAGTAAAAAAACCAAAGAGAAAAATATGGGTTTTAGAGTAATAGGGTTCATTTCGAGAAATT